AGTGATGACAGACTCATGAAGAATCATGTGATCTTTGCTCTACTCCACTCTGTGTGTGCCCTTGTCACGGTCATATGATGCATATAGGTCAGAGAGGCGTCTCTTCACTGCTCGTGTGCCAGTCTACGTTTGGACGGGGTGACCAGAGCAACACACTTTACAGTTTAAACGAGAAGACCATAATGTGAGGATAACCAGAGGTCAAGAGGCACTAGTGAGAATTCAAACTTTCCTATCACATTTGCATGGAGCAACTTTCACCCCTTTAGGAAATACATGATGCTATGAAGACATTGAGAAAACTAAAAGGAGAACTCTGTTGGAAAATGAACCTTTGGTCTAATAAAACATTGGTACCAAGTCAGATTTGTTTTCATGATAATCGAATGTAAAGAGTTTTATCTCTAAAAACTGTTTAGCGTATAACGGTATAGCACTGGGGGGCATTTACTAAGTAAAGTGAAATCGCTAGTTAATACCACTAACAAAGGACAAAATAGCCCCACACTGACACAGTAACATAATGAGGGTCCCTACATGCAAAACGAAGCATTGAGAACTTTGTAAGTGTACAGACCGTTTAATAAGAAGATACTTTATAAAGACAGTCCACTTCGTGTATACAGACAGGAGCCATCTTAGAAAATAGTCTCGATAAGTCGATGCCCGTTCATACAGTTCAGATCACTCAGCACGTCGTTCATGGTTTGATTGGTCAAGACTGTTTCCAAAGATAGCTCCTGTCTGTATACACGAAGTGGACTGTCTTTTCATAAAGTATCCTCTTACTTCTTAACTTAAGTGACAAGCATTAAAAGATACCGTTTCAGAAAAAATAAAATAAAATCACAATGTTCAAGGCACTTTATAAATGCGATGCAAACTTTGGGATGCACTGTAAAAAATATATAATCAATAAGTTATGACAGCATGTTGTCATGCTAAATGAAATTTAAGTTGGAATGACTTAAACATCCAAGCTGATTGTACTTAATATCAACTTTTTTATAGTGTGGTAACAATATACATTTTGTCTATTTCATTTCAATGTTTCTTTAAAGTGTATTTTTGATAGAATATTGATAGTGTATTTTTTTATATACATGTAACTTATTTTACACATATTGCCTGTTTAATTTCAAGATTTGTTTAACTTTTGTTGATAGAAAAAAAAATCTGGCGTTTTAAACGACATGGGGGTTCTAATAAAACCTTTAAAATACAATTTATTTGACCTCCTGTGGAGGGTGGTTTTCTGAACCATCTATCTATTTTCGCTCAATTTATTGAAAAAAGTGAAAATACTTTTTTTTTGGCCATATTTTGTACCTCCAAAAATCACATTTGAGCAATGTTCTTAACACAAGCCCAATGTCATTTATATTACGCAACAACAAGTGGCAACAGAACAGTTCCAGTGGGGGATAAATAAATAAAAAAAGCACATTTTGCAACAGTTTCATCTTTGAATCACTAGTAGGCCCCCTGGGGCTCCGAAGTCTCTTTTTATATCTAAATCAGATAAAGAAAAGCCAGTGTTTTCAAAGAAAGGTTCAACACTGCTTCTGGATTCACTCCCAAATATTTTCCTTCAATGATGGCATAATTACTCAAATAATTAAATTAGCTGCATACCAGCAAAATATGTTCCTCAGAGGGAACACAAAAGAAGTGAGAAGAAAAAGAGCAACACTTGGAAAACCAACACTGGAGATTTACAATTCTCAGAACAAATAACACACCACAATGCACAATATTAAATAATGGGTTATAAAAATATGATGTTTTAACTTGTTGTCTTAATCTAGAACACAACAAGTAATACACATAAGAACAACAGCTATAAACAGCACATTTTAAATAATACAAAGATAAACCTATAAGAGCTAAAAAAACTATTAGGATGCCTTAAATTTTAGGTAAAAAAAAAATAACACATTTGAAAACTACAGGAGTTCTCTGGCATCATAAAATCTAATGAGTGTGTGGAAAAAAATAGCCTATGCTCAAGCAAAATACCAAGCTTATTATACAGTAACCTCTTTAAAATAACCTGACAGAACTGGGATCCTCATTCAAGGAAAATATATGAGGCACTAAAGCTATACAAAATGTAGTGGGTGATTCAGAAACTGTGATTGTGAGAAGAAAGCTAGATCAAAGAAAGCTAAACTTTGCAATTCCACCTGACAATCAACATTTCAAGAGTGCCAACCCGTTTGTGATATGCTCAACTGAAGAGAATAGATAAGGCTAAATTAGCTCTAAACAGAGGAACTGAAAACTCGTGTTTTGTGAGGTCATTTATGACACATACTTCAATATGCCACAAGCTATGGGTGAGCTATAATGAATCTAAAGAGATTTCACTGTACCAATGAATCAGACAGGCGAAATCCACTCTAATGTGGTTTGCAAGATTCTCTATAGGCTACACAAATCTATCTAACAGATCACCTTTCTCTCCATGAAAGTATTGCAGTGATAACATTTACATTATTACACTGGATTATCAGCAATACACTGGGAATGAAATAAAACAGGGCCATGGGCTGATTAGAATGAGAGGGAGAAAGAGAGAAGTGGTTCTGTTATCACATCCTTAGCTTCCCCTGCATTCTCAGAGGAAAACGGTTGCATGCGTTTGAATTTGAAAAAAGGGTCAACTCGGAGCAAATGCAAGCTTTTCACTTTAAGTACAAAACTTATTTTACAATACCATCCTGGTCTGGAGAGCCTAGACATATGTCGTGCCACTGTAGTACGAGTTAAAAATAGCCTTACCTCTAAATTCACAAAGCAAACAATAGGTTAGTCTCGATTACAGCCATCAGTTCCCCAAATCCGAGTACATCCAGCTGACATTTTGTAATTGAATGCATTTGTGCTGATTTAATAAGCGTGCTGCAAAATATCTCAGTGTGTTTGGATGTGATTAAAGACATTTCCAGGTCATGTAACTGAGGAAACTCTAAAAAGAAAATCTATGGTCGTTTAGGCAAGAAATTATACCGTCTAATATTTTCCTGAACCCTGTTAAAAATCAAAACATGGTCATTACCATTATTGTTACAGTCTAACTTTCTGTGGTGAAGCAAATGTGTTCTTTAGTTCATGAACAAATCATTTTATTTTTTAAATAAGTAGAGCTGTCAAACGATTAATCGCATCCAAAATAAAAGTTTGTGTTTACATAAAATATGTGGGTGCACTGTGTATAATTATTTTGTATATATATATATATATATATATATATATAAATACACACACATGCATGTATACTTAAGAAAAAAATATTATTTGTATATAAAATATTTATATTTATATATAATACAAATTATATATAAATCTACATAGAGTATATACATGAAAATATTTCTTAAATATACAAGCATGTGTGTGTATTATATATATAATAATTATACACAGCGCCCCCACATACATTATGTAAACACAAACTTGTATTTTGCAATTAATCAATTAATCGCGATTAATCGTTTGACAGCCCTATGTCCTCAAATAAATGGCTGTCGTTTACTTCATTGGAGAGTAGGGTTGGGTATCGAGAATCGAGTATCGATTGGAACCGAGACTAACTTTTCGTTTTTTTCCGGAATCGTTCAAAAGTTAAAATTTCGATTCCTAGTTTCGATATTCACAGTCCGCCAAGCGGAATAAGAAACCGCTGAACAACACCAACGAAGAAGCGTCTACCGGAAGTGTTGGCATAACCGCGCGAGTCGAACATGAGTAGCTTACGTCGGCGATCCAAAGTGTGGCTTCACTTTTCTAAAAATAACGAAATCTCGGCAAAATGCAAAATTTGTGACAAAAGGATTATTTGTGACAGGAGTATTTCCTTCAGAAAGGATTATTTCCTTCAGAAAGGCCGTTGGTTAGCAAGGTTAGCTAAACTTTTTTGACCCTGCCTCTTAAAAGAATCAGAATCGAGAATCGTTAGGAACCGGAATCGCAACAAGGAATCGCAATCGGAATCAGAATCGTTCAAATTCAAACGATACCCAACCCTATTGGAGAGATATCTTTCGTTCATCAAAGTCCCTTTCTTTTGACTGCTTTCCTGGTTTCAAATACTGACTAAACCACAAGGCAAGCCAATGGGCTCTATGCACGGCGTTATTTCCGGTGAAGGATTAAGGATGCTCGATAACTTCCGCCGATCATAGAGTCCAATGCAATACCGAGAGTTTATATTGAATTTTAATGAAAATTTTACTAATGAAACGTTAGTCACAAAAACAGATAAAACAGACACCCCTCGTTGTGTTTATGCTTCTTTTTAAAATTATATTAAATAAACATAACTATATATAAAATTACATCTAAACGTATGTACGTTTCGTTTCAAAGACGGAGGACAGTAAATAATGAAGACTCTGCCATAATCCCGTTTTCTCCGGTTTTCCTCCGCTTTAATCTACACAAACGGAAATGGACGAGCATCCTTACGTCAAATGCGGAACTTATGCGTGCATATAGCCCATAGCTTGCCTTTAAAGTAAGAGCTGTGAAGAATAATTCCTTCACACAAAGTTAATGAAGCGACACAGAGTTAATCTTGTTCACAATTAAAAAGAGTAAAATTATGTGTCGAAATTAGCCTACTGTTTTGACTCTCTCAATATTTTTGCAGCGTAGGTGGCAAAACTCATAGATTAGCAAGCACAGAGATTTTAATAAAGTATCATAAGACTTGATGCTTTCAACGAATCAGGAGTGAATGATTCAAAGACTCGCGAATAATAATATGCACTTGTCGCCACCCATTGGCGTAACAACATATTGACTTGCTAAGTGTAGAGGTTAACGTTAACTAAATTAATCAGATAACGAATAAAAAACTCGAATCACTGGAATGAATAAAAGTGATTAAAAGATGAACTGAAACAGAAACAACACTGACATTTTTAGGATGCCTAGCGTTACATCATTCTTCCAAACACATTGATTCATTCTTTTAATAAAATACCAGAACTCACCTTCATCTAACAGTCGCTCGAGATGGTTGAAAATACCACAGAAGTTTGGCAGGCTGCTCATCAGTTTCTTGTCATTCATGAGCTGCATCAGATAATCAGGAGTCGGCTTAGGCTTCTCCTTCGTTTCCATTTCCCCAACCATGTTTAAAATATTGGCCCCCCAAAAAAAGCTATAAAAAATGCGCTAAGCTTTGGAAAAACACGACAGCCCCCGACAAAAACGCAAACGGAGGGGTTTGATTTGTTTTCCGTTTTATTCCAAACTTTTGACCCGATGTTGCGACTACTTTTCAAACACAAAGTTCCAACTTTGTATCGCCCTCAATCATCCGTTAAAAAAATGATGACGCAATTAAAACGAATCTGCGCGAAAGTTCTTATTTGTTCGTAGAATGTTTGCAGTCAAATAACTCCAAAAACTCCCGCATGCCCGCTGAGATTTGTTCGCCTCTCCTCTTCAACAGAGTGTGTTTTATAGACACCACACCAAACCTCTATCCTGGCTGTTGAAAACAGCTTCTTCTCCTCCCAGGACTTTTTCACCGACCGTCGCTGTGTTTCAGAGCTCTTGAAAAACGGGTTTAAAGCAGAGGCAATGATAACTTGTAGGCTCTATCTCTCGCGCTGTGGAAACTCCTTTAGTCTCGCCTGATGTTTCTGTGTTCAGTCAGTGCCGTTCTCTCCCAAAACTGTCTGTCAGTCACATGATCATCAACCCTACACTGCTCAACATTGCCATCGTGCGAAGTCGCCAATGAGAGAAGAAACCAGCACAATCTCTCTCTCTCTCTCTCTCTCTCTCTCTCTCTCTCTCTCTCTCTCTCTCTCTCTCTCTCTCTCTCTCTCTCTCTCTCTCAAACTTGTACACACAGTGTACTTGAGGTTCAGGAGGAGCTCCCATTCACAACGCTTTTCTTTCATTAAAATCATTATGATTTCTACAGAGTCTTTGTATGGGCAGCCAGCCAGGGGCTAGAGCCTAGTTGTTACACTTTTTTAATACAACATTCCCATTCAAAATACAGTTTAGTGCTATATACGATATAGCGAGAAAATGCAAAATATGTATTTCGACATTCCTGACAATGTTCTCTTAAAGTTATGACCACACGTTCTTCTAGTATGTTAATATGACATTTATTTAAATTGATCTGGTCTTTCATAACGTCATCAAAATGTTGGCACAAAAAAAAACTTTATTTTTGAATGTTCAGAAAACATTAAGAAAAAACATTTTCATAACATAGTGAGAACGTTAATAAGCTTAGCTAAGTTACTGAGATATGTTGACAAGACAACTAGCCAAGATGCACTTTATAATCCTAAACTAGGGCCGTCAAACGATTAATCGCGATTAATCGCATCCAAAATAAAAGTTTGTGTTTACATAATATATGTGTGTGTACTGTGTATAATTATTTTGTTTATATATAAATACACACACATTCATGTATATTTAAGAAAAAATATTAATTATATATAAAATATTTCTATTTATATATAATATAAATTATATAGGCTACAGGCTAAATCTATATGAAGAGTTCAGATGCAAAAGCCTCTAAATGCCATTTGAAATTTTCTTCTAAAATGACCATTTTTATCAAGCTTGTATATTTAAGTTCAGTAATTTCACTTAAATGGCAATGAAGATTACCTATTAATTGTCATTTAAGTGAAATTACTGAACTTAAATATACAAGCTTGATAAAAATGATCATTTTAGAAGAAAATTTCAAATGGCACTTAGAGGCTTTTGCATCTGAACTCTTACAGTATATACATGAAAATATTTCTTAAACATATACAAGGATGTGTGTATTTATATGTATAAAATAATTATACACAGTGCACCCACATATATTATGTAAACACAAACTTTTATTATGGATGCGATTAATCGCGATTAGTCGTTTGACGACCCTATCCTAAACCTTAGGCCCTACTACATTTTCATACATTCTGCCCTTATAACACACTCAATAACCCCGAAGTGATGACATGAGGAAAAAAGTGGGTATTTTTCTGCATTCCAATGCATTACTAAATATTTAAGCATTGACTGTCTCAGAGATAACATTATCTTGGTGGAAGCATGGTGGATATCATGGTCTTAAAAATCAAGTATGACTAGCTCAGTTATCTCACTGACCTTGTTTTATAAGCATGTGTTATGTTCAAACGCCACATTTTAAGAAGGTTTATTTCTGTGTGTGTGTGTGTGTAACATCTCAGCCAAGTCTTAAGAAAAAGGAAAGAGAGGAATGAAAGGGCTTGGGGGAACAGGAAAAGTTTTCATCAGTTTGCACGGCCCTCCTCTTTCCTCTGTGAAGTGGGCAGCATTCTTATGTAGATGAACACAGACTTCAGCTATTGCTCTCACAGCAGCAAAAGGCCAGAGTGAGAGGCCCTCCTACAGGGAACAGTTTGATGATGAAATGCTGACCTGGGATCCGATTTGTGCCATGTGACATTTTGAGCAATATGGTAAATGCAAAAAGAAACAGATCCAAAGACAGGAGAAAAGGTTAGTGTTCCTGCTGCCTTTGTGATTGTACACTGAGTGATCGTGAAGAGTGGCATGGGTTAGCATGCTAAACTATACGCACACGCTTTAAACAAATATTTATTTTTTAAATGTAATCTGCACATTTTTTCTTACTAAAAATACCCCAAATATACAGTAAAGATCAATTTCCTCAAGAAAAAATATATATGTATACCACATCGCAACATTTATACTTAAAACAAGAAAGAAAAATTTCTTTCCCCCGTTTATTTTATTGGACTTTTTTTTCTTATTTTAAGTATATGAAACTGGAAATAATACAAAAATTGAGATTTGTTTTAGTTTTTTTTAGTTTTTTTTTTTTTTTTTTTTAGATAAATCCTTTTAACAAGCATGATTTTTTGAGGATCACGGTTTATGGCTAAAACATTACCTAGCAGAAAACTGTCAAGTCACAGTGTGTATGAGTATATAACAGATATTCCAGTGGTCAGAACATTCCTCCGGGATGCTATATGCGACCCTTTATACCCTTATTTTTCACTACAGGGAGTCAGATGGGCGCTAATTTGCCAGGCCGTGGAGATGAAAGTGAGGATGGTATTAGCCTGGGCATCAAGGGATTGGAATGTAGGCTATTTAGCATGGGAGTCAGACAATCCCCAGGGCCTCCCATCACCACAGCACAACGGCTAAATAAATAGAGAAGTAATTAACAGACTAGTGAGAGAACAGACCGTTTCATTACTGCATCTTCTTCGGATAGAGAGAGAGAGAAAGAGAAAACAGTTCACTAGGCAAAGCCATGCAGAGAGATGTATTGACAAAAGACTATGTGCCACAAAACACACAATAGTCATTTGATTGACACCTCAATAAGATTATTATAGGCTTTGAGCAAAACAAAGAAAACGTATTGAATTGTCTTTGTGGAAAGTTAAACAACTACACAGATTTGCTATGCTGATGTGCACATCACACGCACATTTCCTCTTTTAACAGAAGTGTATTAAAGGATTCGTTTAGTGATGCCCACAACTAAAATGTCCAAAAAAATGTTTCACTATCTCAGTCTGCCATTGGTTGTACAAACAGATAGGTGCTGTTTTAGACAATGTGTAATAGTACTACAGTATAAATTGTTTTTGAATGAGAAAAATGTAGGGTGGGATTTGATGAGATGTCAGTTGCAAGGGGGAGGGAAACTTTTTTTTTTGGAAATACGCTCATTTTACAACTCCCCCAGAGTTAAAATGTTGAGTTTTACCTTTTTTGAATCCATTCAGCCGATCTCTGGTTCTGGCGGTACTTTTAGCATAGCTTAGCATACATCATTGAAGTGCACAAGACCATTAGCATTTCTCCCAAAAAAATTACCAAAGTGTTTCGATATTTTTCCTATTTAAAACTTCTCTTCTATAGTTAGTAGTTAATATAGTTAATAGACTCTTCTATAGTTACATCGTGCACTAAGACATACGGAAAATGTAAAGTTGCGATTTTCTAGGCTGATATGCAGGGAACTATACTCTCATTCCTGCGTAATAATCAAGAAACTTTGTCGTACCATGAGTGCAGCAGGCGCGGTGACCATAGACAGTATAAGAAATGGACAGAGCGATCTCGGAACTCCATTGAGACGATTGAAGCCCGTTTTTGGCGTTTTTTTTAGCACTTCCGTCCCTGACACGCAGACTCAAACAGAGCTTGACGACGTAGATGTGACGAGAGCAACCCGTCTGTCTTCGAGTGCTGTAGCATGAGAAATCTGAATCATTCCCTTCCCAAACATGCAGAGCCAGAGAGTGTGAATAGGAGCTGTCCATATAGGAGCAGGAGACACTTTTGCTAGGTATTCTGATTAATTATTTTGTCATTTTGCCTCCACTTTTCCCCGATTGCCCAAGAGCTTCTTCCCCTGTCCATACGGTAATCTACTGTGCGACAGAGAGTCGCTTGGGTATGATGCAATCGTTAGCTTACTTTCACTAAACCTGCTTCTACGGGGCCATAACATAAGCTACAAGGTAATGGAGCTTTTTACACATTGTCGTGTTTCTTTAGAAATAAATTTCGTTCAAATGGGGTCTTCAAACGCCTCAGATGTAAAGTTATTCGCCGTCAAAGTGACGCCAAAATGAATGGGAGTCAATGGGAATGCTAACGCAAGTGAAGTTCTGCTACAAGATGGCAGCTCCCGCGAGGCTTCAACTTCCGGTCGAAGGATTACCCCCTTGGCGATGACTACACAAACTTAGTCCCGGTCACGTTGGAAGCTGGGCACTATTTTCAGGCGCTGCGTCATAACATTACGCCTGCTAATAGCGTTAAACAGATACAGGGAACTTATGCAACTGTTTTGCTTTCATGAGTAAATAGCCTGGCTACTTGAGAGCGTGTGTCCTATAGTTGTGTGATTATGTTAAACAATGTTTGTTCTCATTTTGTTTGTGAATAACTGTATATTTTTGCATGTTTGCATGTGTGAATGGATATGAATGTATGCAATATCTAACAATCATGTCTATGTACATAAGCATCCAGTGTGTGTGTGTGTGTGTGTGTAAGAATGCTGTATGTCTGGGAATGTACGTTGGGTATGACATGGTGAATGATGCATGCTTTGCCACTGGGCCTTTGTGTACTAACAAAGTTGGTTTGCAGGGTTCTCAAGTTTGAGCAAAAGCTTGGAGTGAGATCACACGCGGTTAGGGGAGGAGCCATAATGAAGCCCCGCCCCACCCATCCCCGCCCCCAATTTTACCCATTGTTCATAATTAACCAGAACAAATTAAAATTATAACAATTAGTAAATCTGATAAATGACAGAGCAATTCATCACATCAAATATACTCTTTAATGCATTATTACAAATATAGATAACCAAAAATATAACAAATTGCTCCAAACAGTTTCAAACAAATCTTTAAAAATTGCATTTTGATTTTTGAATGCGTCTTCTATCTAGACGAATGATTTATTGTGTGGTGGGACATTGAGAACAAATGGACAGATTAGAGTGCACCACCTCTTCCACTGTCTCCTCCTCTAATCTGGCAACCTTTTTAGGGGGCTTACCCTTTGGTGCCCAAAATGACAAAATATCTTTCTGCTTTTTTCCTGACATCTTTGAAAACTACAAATGCAACATTATGACAATGATTAAATATTACCCAGAGCAATCTGCTGTAATACATCCTTAATGTAACTAGAAAGACTATTAATATTACAGTAT